ATCGTCACTGGTCCATATAAGACAGTAAATCAGTAAGTGGGCCGGGCATAGTGGCTCAGTCTATAACCCCAGTATTTTGAGAGGCTGAGGCGAGTGGATTCCCTGAGCCCACGGGTTCGAGACCAGACCAGGCAACTTGGTGAGACCTCGTCTCTACAATAAATCGAAAATTAGCCGGGCGTGGTAGCACGCGCCTGTAGCATGGCTACTTGAGAGGCTGAGGTGGAAGGATCGCCGGAGCCCAGCAGTTCGACACCAGGGTGGCCATGAGTGTACCACTGCACTCCAACCTGGGTGACAGAGTGAGACGCCAATTCAAATAACAATAAATAAGCAGCTATAGACAGAGCCAACAAAATGCTTATAACCACAGAGAACAGAACAAAATCAAGGAATATCAGAGTTAAAATATACTATGCAGTTCTAACAGCTGCTTGAAAGAAAGGAATCGTGGCACTGGGAAAAGATTGTGAAGAAGTCAATTAAAACAAATGCCTTGACTGTCTATATTTATATTAGCCTACAGTGATTCAAAGACAATTTGTTACCTTGCCTTTCTCAAACTATTACAGGTAATATGACCATCCTCTTAACAGGGTCTTTCACAAGACACACATTTTCATTTTGACAAAGTCCAAATGATCAATTATTTAATAGGTCATACTTTTGACATTAAGTTTAAGAATTCTTCACCAAATCCAAAGTTTCACAGATTCTCTCCTGTTTCTTTTTTTTTCTTTTTCTTTTTTCTTTTTTTTTGAGTCAGAGTCTTACTCTGTTGCCCAGACTAGAGTGCAGTGACACGCTCCCAGCCACCGCAGCCTCACCCTGCTGGGCTCCGGCAATCCTTCCGCCTCAGCCTTCCAAGTAGCCGGAACTACAGGCACGCACCACCACGCCCGGCTTATTTTTGATTTATTGTAGAGATGAGGTCTTGCCAAGTTGCCCAGGCGGGTCTTGAACCTGGGGGCTCAGGCAATCCACTCTCCTCGGCCTCCCAAAGTGCTGGGATTACACACTGAGCCACCAAGCCTGGCCTCTCCTATTTCATTGTGTAAGTTTTATTTCATGTTTTATGACAAAATCTATTATTCATTTTGAGTTATTTTTTGCATAAGGTGTGAGGTCCAGATCAAGGTTCATTTTCTAACCTATGGTTAAGAGGATGAAGACAAGTTACAGACTAGAAGAAAATATTATAGACAACTATCTTCCAAAAGACTCATATCTAAAACATATAAGACCTTTCAAAATACAACATTCGAGAAGCAAACAGTTCAACTAGAAAGTGAGGAGAAGGACATGAATAAATATTTCACCAAAGGACATTTTTTTAAGTCAAAGAAGCAATGAACAGGTTTTCAATATTAGTGATCATTAGAGAAATGCAAATTAAGGTGATGAGCATTCACTACACACTTAGTAGAACTGTTAAAATTTTAAAAAGAAAACTAACAGTGGTGAGGATGCAGAGCAACAGAGTATCTCATATATAAGTTGTAGGAATACAAAATGGTAAAGCCACTCTGGAAAAGTTTGTCAGTTTCTTTCAAAACTAAACACATATCATCATATGACCCAGCAATTGCATCCCCTGGGCATGGAGATCAGAGATATGACAAATTATGTCTACTCCTGTATGTGATTATTCATAGCAGTGTACAGTAGCCAAAACTGGAAACAACCAAAATGCCCAATAGGTAAGTGGGTAAACAAACTGAGGTACATCCATACCATGAAATACTACCTAGGAATAAAAAAGAACAAACTATTGATAAATGCAACAACTTGGAGGGATGTTAAAAGCATCATGCTGACAAAAACCAATCTCAAAAATCACATACTCTATGATTCCATTATGCAATATTTCAGAAAATGGCAAAATTATGGAGAAGAACAGATGAATGGTTGCTAGGGATTCAGGATAAGGGGGTGGGGGTAGGTGCAACTATAAACAAGTCACATGAGAGAGATCTTTGTGGTGAGGGAATAGTTCTGCATCTTGATAGTGATAACAGTTACACAAATATACACATGTGATAAAATGATACAGAAATATATACGTACTTATACCAGTATCAACGTCCTGGTTTTGATATTGCATCACTATGTTGATTTTTAACCAACAGGGAAACTTGGTGAAGTGTACACAGGAACCTCTCTGTACTCTTTTCAACTTCCTGTGACTCACTAGTTGCTTCCAAATAAAAAGTTATAATAAATGCAATCAACATAAAATAATCCAAAAGTATCAAAGGCATGAAAGGAACGTAAAAATTTGTTGAAAACGGTGAGGTTCCAATGCTAAATGCACACCAAAGAGGGATGGGGTGATCATGGTGTAATCTAGAAAGAGAGATGGAGAATCTGTCCAACCCCCTAAAACAGAGAATTCAAACACTCACTGAGCATTTGCAGGACACAGTATCACAAGGGTTGTTTTTTTCTTTTCTTTCTGAGTTGGAGTCTTTCCATTGCCCAGGCTGGAGTGCGGTGGCACGCTCGCAGCCACCCCAGCGTAGACCTGCTGGGCTCAGGCGATCCTTCCATCTGAGCCTTCCAAGTAGCCAGAATTACAGGCACTGCACGAGCTACCACATCCAACTAATTTTTTTATGGATTTATTGCAGAAATGAGGTCTCACTAAGTGGCCCAGGGTATTGTCGAACCCGTGGGCTCAGGCAATCCCCTCACCTCAGCCTCCCAAAATGCTGAGATGACAGGTTTGAGCCACCACGCCTGGCTTATTATAAGTATTAGTGGGGTTAGAAACAAGAAAGGTCAAGTACTTACCTCTGAATTAATTTATTCCCTAAGAAGTTAAGATATGACAATTACTTAAGGCCTCTGCAGAAGCAGTTTCCTTTGCTTGAAATGCTCTTCTGGCACTTTTTCTAGTTCGTTCTTACTCATCCGGCAACTCTCAGCTCAGTGTCACCTCTTCAGGGAAACCCTCCCTAGCCCTTCTCCTTGCCCGCCATATAAAATTTGTCTCTTCCATGCCATGGTTGAACAGCACCCTATGTATTTCATTCATAATACTAATCACCACTCACAAACAACTGCATGACGAGTTGACTATTATTCTCATTAGGCTAAAATCTCCAAACGACAGAGGCAGACTGTGTACCCGACCACTGTTTCCCACACCCAAGGCCATGCCTGACAAATGACAGAAGTTCTAGTTGTATATAGGGAATAAACACATTCAAAGCAAAAATTCCTGTGTACAGGTGAGCAGGCAGACAATAAGATTTTACTGAAACTTGGAAGAACCTAGTATCTCTTCAACTGAGGAAGTCAGCTGATATGGGATAGAAGCTTCGTGCAGAAGATAAAGAATCTTAAATCCGAAGCTCAATAGAAACGTGTCCATCTTTCTGCCTGTCAGCAGCAGAAACGCACTAAAGAATTGAATCAGAGGAGTTGCTGTCAAAAGTGTTCTTCAGGAAAATCAACGTGGAAATGGACTTGAACTCAGAGACTAAGACACCAGAGGCAGTAAAGAATAATTAAAGGGACACTATGGCAGTGCAGGCACAAAACAATAAGGTCTTGAATGAGGGTGGCCATGAGAACACAAAGATGTGAGAAAATAAAGAATAGAGAAGCAACAGAGCTTAACGACCGACTAGACATACAGGCACGAAAGAGGAAGAGTCAAAGACGATTCAGGAGGTTTAACAGTGAGTGATCAGTGAAAGATAAACAACAGAAACGGAGAATTCAGGACTAATTCATCTTAGGAGGAGTGTTTTCTTGGTTGGAAGTGAGGGGTGACATCCGCATAACTGAAGACTGAAGACTAGATGGAGAAGAAAAGTCAAGTCCGGCCATCAGATGTGTGATCGGGTACAGTTAGGAGAGTAAATGAGATCTCATGGAGAGAAGGCATCAGGGCCTTGGATGGAAATCCTTGAAAACAACTAGAATCCCGCCTCCCAACGATGTTGATCAAGTTCTAGAGTCATCATCCAGACCAGGAGCTCCTTAAGGCATTTCTGATTTCATCCTTGTCTTTCCTAAAGAACAGAACACAGGACTTTGTACATAACCAGTACTCAGCAGGTAGCTTATTAAAGGAATCAGCCACTTAAGATAATTTCTGATTCAAATTTCTTGTTCTAGTTTGCATTTCAAAATATGATGTCCTGTGTAGTACTTTCAGAGTAAGGTCTTAAATTAGTGAAATCGGTGAGATTAAGCATTCAGATCATTTATCCAAAGCTATGATTTCCCAAGGCTCTAGGACTGAAGATATCACAGACCAAACTTTGGGACTGTGGAAACCTTTCAGATTAAGCCCCCAATGGAACCAGGACTAAAGCAAATCCTAACTAGATGTAGAAAATACTCTTCAAGATGTTTTTAAACAAAATAAGCAGAAAACATTCAACAAGGAAGAGAAATAAATGAAAAGTGTTAATCTCACACGAGTTCACAATGTACAATAAGAAGTTTCTAGTGAACTGAACAATAACTGATAACTCAATGACATAATTAAGGGGGAAATGAAAACAGCTTCTGAAATATACTGAGGGAAAACTCACTGGCTTGCCCTCCCACAAAACATTCCTGGGTATTGTAGTCAGGGGTGGAGTCAGGGGCTAATCTGATTCAATACTTAGGTGAACAGTCTTCCCCTCGTGGAAGTTTAAAATAACAAAAAGTACTGAGAAATGGATCAGGGAACAAATTTGTTGACAGCCTCTCCACATCAAATTATTCTGTCAACTTAAGTCTTTTCGAGGGTGCAATCTGCGACATGGCTCTGAGCCTGAGCCACCAGCAAATGTCCTAGGTGCTCTCAGGTAGGTGTGTTTGTGAGAGACGTCGGGAAGACAAAAGAAATCGGCTGGAGTAACAAGACTGTGGGACCCGACAAGCCACCTAGAATCCCACTACTCTCTCAGCAGCAGCCTGGCTCCCAATCCAAAGCCGGTCAAGGGTCCTGGCCTGCTTGATTCCAACAACAGCAAATGAAACACTGGGAAACTGACCATTCTCAGAGTCGGACAGCTCGAATGGGTTGCAAAATCCTTCGGAGTTATCTCCCAGTAACTTTCACTCCTGGTCCTGGTTCAAGAGCAACATAGTGAAAGGTGAACGTTGTCTTCTTTTTTTTTTTTTTTTTGTACTTTTAGAAAAAACAGGTGTTACTTCCTCGCACGTCAACGCGTCCCCCTCTTTCAACAGTGGGGAAATGGCACTTCTGCCCCCTTCAACGTCTGATTGAGGAATTCCGGCGCAGGGAGCATGCAGGTCCCTCGACTGGAGCCGCGACCTCCCAGCCGGGGCAGGGCAGGGCGGAGGGGCGTCCACACCCGCCGCCCCGGGAGAAGCC